TGTGGTGTGTGTGGTGTGTGTATGTGGTGTGTGGTGTGTGTGTGCGTGTGTGTGTGTGTGGTGTGTGTGTGGTCTGTGTGTGGTGTGTGGTGTGTGTGGTGTGTGTGTGGTGTGTGTGTGTGTATATGTGGTCTGTGTGTGTGGTGTGTGGTGTGTGTGGTGTGTGTGTATGTGGGTGTGTGGTGTGTGTGTGTGTGTGTGTGTGTGGTGTGTGTGTATGTGTGGTCTGTGTGGTGTGGCTGCATGTATCACTGAGTTTGAGGGAGGTGTGCCACTGTTCTGCTCTCCCTCCCTGTTCCTCTGCTGGAGTTGTCCACATGGCCTGAGCTGTGTCTCTGGGTGTGTATCACAGGCATGCAGCTGGAGGAGCCAGTGGGATCCTCCAACTTCCAGAGGGAGAAATAAGGTTCACGGAGCCCAGCGGAGGCTTGGCACAGAATGGGGAGGAGCAGAACTGCCAGCCCATAGCAAAGCCTCTGTGCAGATGAGACAAAGGCACTCCCACCTTGCCTAATCAGCCTCCCAGGTCTATGGTTTGGTAGGCAGATGGCACCTCGTGTGTGAGTTTGAAAGGCACCCTTACCCCAAAAATGGATGCAGCCCCACTAGCACACGCCCTGGGGAGGAGAGCCCAGCAGGATTTCAGCCTCTCAGCCAGACCCTTGAGGCAGTGCACCGCACCTGTCTAACCCTACATGGCAGCCCCCAAATGAATGAAGGAATCCACAGCGCTGCATGCATGTGCCACTTCCGGAAGGGATGTGTCTCTGTGTGGGGGACAAAGGCATCCATGCTGTACAGGTCACAGTGCTCAGAGACCTGAGTTCAAAGCCCAGTCCCACTCTTTGGGCACCTTAGGCTCAGGCAAACGCATGGGACCTCTGAACCTCAGAGTCTCATCTGAAATGAGGTGTGTCATTACACATATATGTGGCCCACAGAGATGATAGCTAGGAAAGCTTGCAGTACAAATGAGGAAATGGGAGCATGTCTGGGGCTGCTGACATTACTAGGACAGGGAGGTTGGCTGGAATGGCATGCCAGGGACACCCTGAAGGAAGAGAGAGAGTGGTGGTCAGACCAGGATCTGTCTTCCCCAGAGGAAGGCAACAGCAGGTGCACAGGCAGGAAGGTGGGAGTGGGCCCTGAGCATGAACTTGGAAGGTATGGGAAGGGGAAAAGGAAAGATGAGAAGAGGAGCTCCCTTGACAGAGTTGGGTTTATTCCCAGGTGTGACAACAGGGAAACCAGAGTGTGGGATAGGAGTGGTTGATGGCTTGAATTGCTTAGCCGAGTTCTACGAGCCACCCAGGCTGGAGTGCAAGTGGTGCCATCCAGCCTCACTGCAACCTCCGCCTCCTGAGTTCAAGCAATTCTCCTGCCTCAGCTTCCTGAGTAGCTGGGATTACAGGTGCCCGGCTAATTTTTGTATTTTTAGTAGAGACAGGTTTCACCATGTTTGCCAGGCTGGTCTTGAACTCCTGACTGAGTGATCCGCCTGTCTCGGTCTCCCAAAGTACTGGGATTACAGGCGCGGAGCCACCATGCCAGTCCCTATTACCTTTAATTGTGGAAATACATCATTTAACCATTCTCCAAGTGTCTGATTCGTGGCATTAGCATATCTCTGAGGGTGTGTGCAGCCATGGCTATCTAGTTCCAGGGGTGTTTTCTCACCACACGAGGAAGACTGGCACCCATGAGTGGTCATCACTTCCATCCTCTGTCCCCAGCTCCGGGCAATTATTAATCGGCTTTCTGTCTCTGTGGATTTGACTATTGTGATATTTCATATTAGTGAAATCATACACTAAGTGAGCTTTATGGCTGGACTTTTCCACTGAACATCATGTCTTCAAGGTTCATGCATGCTGTGATTTGGTATCTCTGTGCTTTTGGTACCTGTCACGATGTTTGTTGGGTACTTGCATTGTTTCCAGTGTTTGGCTGTCGTGCAAGGTGCTGTCATGAACATTCAAGGATAAGTTTTTGTGTGGACACATGTTTTGAATTCTTTGGGGTAGACACGGCAGAGTGGAAGTGCATGGTAATTCTAGATAACTTTGTTTTATTGTTTGTTTGCTTGTTTGTTTGTTTGTTTGTTTGAGACGGAGTCTCATTCCTGTTGCCCAGGCTGGAGAGTGCAAATGGCATAATCTCAGCTCACTGCAACCTCCACTTCCTGAGCCCAAGAGATTCTCCTGCCTCAGCTCGTGAGTAGCTGGGACTACAGGTAACAGCCACCATGCCCAGCTCATTTTATTTTCTTTTTTTTTTTTTTTTTTTTTCTTTTTTTTTTTTTTTTGTATTTTTAGTAGAGACGGGGTTTTGTCATATTGGTCAGGCTGGTCTTGAACTCCTGACCTCATGATCCACCTTACTGGCCTCCAAAGTGCTGGGATTACAGGTGTGAGCCACCGCGCCTGGCCCAATTCTAGTTAACTTTGCTGAAGCACTAAACTGTCTCCTTACAGTGTGGGTCAAGCCATTTCTAAGACTCCATTAAAACATCCAAGTGACATGTCCAGTGGGCAGTGGGGTATTCTAGCACCGAGTCAGGGGAAGGGTCCAAGCTGGAGCTGAGAAGGAAAGTTGAGGCCCATGCAGGACGGCGATGGAGCCACTGGAGGCTCTGGAAGGTTCACCTCCCAACCCTCTGCCCATCCCCACCAGCAGCAATGTTGCCGACAGCGGCGTGGTCCCTGTGACACACACGATGGAAAGAGACATAATAGAAAGGGACAACACCGAGGGATATGTATTGACTCAATCCCATCCACCTCCATCCCTTTATGCTGCTTTCAGCTTCTTTACAGCTTCCTTCATCAGTTTCCTTTATATTTTTCACAATTGGCGCTAACATGTCCCATTCATTTGTGTCTATCTGCTGACTGTCCTCCTCACTAGCACGTAGAACTTCGTAAAGGCAGGAACACTGTGGGCTTATTCACTGCTGCATTCTCAGCCTAGGGAGGCTGTTCAGGGAGACATTTACTGAATGAAGATGTGTAGAACGAATGCACATCCCGCATCATGCCGGCTCCTGGGAAGCTCTAAGGGCAGCCTCTCGGCAGCTCGCTCAGGGCAGGCGCTGTTCAGATCAGGTTCTCGCAGACAGGAAACGAAGACTCCGGGGTAGCCACCCCCAGACCCCCAGGTTGTTCCTCCTGCAGGTAGAGCGAGGATGTTTCCTTCTCACCAGGCATCCTTCCCACCCCTATCATCCTCTAGGTCCACGGGGTGGGGGCGTGTCTGGGACTTGGCTGGACTGTTGCCATAGAAACAGCTGGAAGACCTGCCCACCACCACCACTCACTACCACCACCAACTCCACCTCTCTTCTCCATCACCTTTTCTTTTTAGACATTAGGCCCACTCTGTCAACCCAGGCTGGAGTGTGGTGGTGCAGTCACAGCTCCCTGCAGCCTTGATCTCTGGGGCTCGTTATCCTCCCACCTCAGCCTCCTGAGTAGCTGGGACTATAGGTGCGCACCACCACCCGCGGCCTGCTTTTTTATTTTTTATTATTTTATTTTATTTTTTTGTAAAGATAGGTTTGCCAGTTGGCGAGGCTGGCTGGTCTCCTGCTTGAGCGATCTGCCCACCTTGGCCTCCCAAAGTGCTGGGATTTACAGGCGTGAGCCACTGCACTGACGACCCCTTTCTCAGCCTGTATCTCTCTCTGAAATAGTTAGCAGCAGCAGCACACACTTTCTTATTTCACCTGCAGTATGCCAGGCACTGTTCTAAGCTCTTTACACATATTTACTCAGCTCATCCTCCTGACCATTCAGAGATAACCATCCTCATCCCCATTTTACAGATGGGGGAGCTGGGCGCGTAACTTAGATAAGAACCTGTCAGTGTCAGGCAGCCGGGTAGGAGGTCCAGCCGGGTGATGAACCACCCTGCTGTGGTTGTGGTTCAGCTGTGATGAGACACTTCAAACCTGACGCCATAAGCATGGTGTGTGCATGTGTTGTGCTCAGGAGAGAGGAACGAGACAGAGAGAGAGAGAGAGAGAGAGAGAGAGAGAGAGAGAGAGAGAGAGCACGCGAGAGAGCACCTGAGATCCGTTGATTACCAGATCTAAATAAAGGAGAGAAATTGGGTATTTGGGGGAATTGGAGGACAATATGGGTGTAGGTCAGTGGTTCTCCACGGGGCCTCCCTCGAAACAGGTGGACTTTCAATGCCTGGAAGCATCTTACATTGTCACAACTCGGGGAATGGGTGCTTCTGGCGTGGAGAGGGCGCTGCTAAACATCCTACAGTGCTCAGGACAGGCTCTCACCATGAAGCAGCACGTCTCGAATGTCAGTGCTGATAAACCGCACTGCCTCTTTCCACTTGCCTGGTCTATAAACCTGGCCTCAACTTCTCTCTCCTCCTCCCTCCCTCTCCTCCCCCTTCTCTCCTCCCCTTCTTTCTCCTCCTCCTTCCTCATCTCCCTGACTCCTCCTTTCCCACCCACCCCTCATCTGTCTTCCCTTCCTTCTCCCCGGCCCCCACTCCCCTCGACACCCCTCCCTTCCCCTCCTCCTCCCTTCCCCGCCTTACCCTCCTCTCCTCCCTGCGCCTCCCTTCGGCTGCCTCCTGCCTCTCCTCTCTCCGCCCCGCTTCTCCTTACATCGCGCCTCGCCGCTTGTCCTAATGTCTGCACACCCTCTGCGTCTGTCGACCCTCCCAATCGCTTCCTCCCGCACCATCTCTCGCCTGATCCCGGTTCTGTCCGCCCATGCTCATTTCTCTCCCCAGCGTGCCCAGGCGCGCGCCTACTGCTCTCCCATTGTCGCCACCGCGCGTGGGGCGGCCAACTTGGGCTCATTGAGCTCAGCTCCCTCCGCCTTTCCTGGGTTTCTGAGTTTGTTGTTCTCTTTATATTTGTTGCCTCTCTCCGCTGCCCCACAGCCTCTACCCGCACCCATCTCCACGCTTCTCACCCTCTGACCGGCCTTCTCCGCCAGCGCTCCAACCTCTGCTGCTCGTTTCTCCCGCAGCCTGGCGGCCCGGTGCGACCCCCTGCACGCCCCATGCCGGCCCTCCTGCCTGCAGACTCTGGCTCCAGCGCTGCCAGGCCGGGCGCTGGCCCGTCTAACGCCACGAGCGCGGAGTCCGCGGGGGCTCAAGGCCCGCCCTGCTGGAGTGGCACGGCGGCAGCCTGACCGGGCGCTGACGGGGTGGCGGCGCAGCAAGCCCGGGCGCCAACGCACGAGTGACCGCCCCGCGATGAGTGCAGCGGCGGCCCGGCGGCCTCCCGGCCGAGCCTCTGCCACGGCTACTACGATGTCATGGGCCAGTACGACGCCACCTTCAACTGCAGCACCTGCCCACTCGCTTCTGCTGCGGTGCACCTGCCACTACCGCTCTTCTGCTGCGAGCATCACACATGCGCTCTGGCGCAGGCCTCCTGTGCCTCCACCACGACACGCCGCCGCTACTAAGGCTCGCGGCCGCTGACAAAGGGGCGCTGGGGGTGCGGGGCGGGCTAGTCAGCCAGCCGGGTGGCTGGAAGGGGGCTGACGGGGTGCCGTGGGCCGCGGGGCGAGGGCCTCGGTGGCAGCACAGCTTCATGTGTGCGGGTCATCAGCTTCGCCCCTGGCCGTGGGTGTCGGCGCCAAAGTGGCTCTTCAGCAGCATGGCCCCGTGTGCCCCGGCGCACCGGAGATCAACGCCCAGGCGTGTGTGCTCAGGGCGGAGGATCGCGAGGCCCGGGGCGGGGCCCAGCAAGGGAGTGTGGAGCCATCCGAGGAGGAGGGGCTACAGGGATAGCGTCGTCAGAGACCCAGGTGGCGAAGCTCATGAGCTGAAGGTGGGCAGGGGCTGAGAGTTGTGCCAGAGCGACCTGGCTATTGTGAGTGATGGTGGAGCGGAGAAGCTCAGGCTCTCATTCATTCGACACATTTCTGAGTATCTTCTGTGGGCCAGAGCTGGGATACAGGAGGAAATAAAAACAAGGCTCCCAAGCAGTGGTGGAAAAGCCTAACTTCCAAATCCAAGTTCACGGCCTACAGGCTGTGTGCCAGTGACGTTATTTAACCTCTCTGTGCCTCAGTTTCGGGTCCGCACAATGAGACTAATCATCGTCCCCACTCATTCGGATTGCAATTAACCAGCTGATTCTACAGTCCTGGCACACCGTGAAGTGCTCACAAATATCAGCGGCCAGTCCGTAAGCAGGCAAAATGCATGTGCTGTATAATTTTAGATGACTGCCGTGAAGAAAAATCAAATGTAAGCTTTTATATATACGTTTTATCATATGGAAGATCCCGCACGCCTCTACTGCTAACTAAAGCGAGTGGTCACGTTTATGACCAGGCTAAGGTCGAGGCAAACCGCGTTCTCGCATCTGCAAAGGTGGAAGCGTCTGCGCAGCCAAAAAAGCAAGATATGATGTTATGCGTCCGGCCCATCCGCGCGACAAACACCGGTCCCTAGTCCAGGGCGTGATGCTATTCGTCCATTTTAAAATTGCGTGCCAGCTGCGCGTGAGACCAAAGAAGTTAGGGTGGGAGGGGGAGACCTTAAGGCTGTTGCAATGATTCAGGTGGAGAGATTTCAGAGGTGGTGTGAGTAGTGGTCCGATTTGGGATATAAGCTTTTGGAGGTTCGATCTCGTAGGATGTTTACTGGAAAGGGATGAAGTGGGGGGAAAAAGAAGAGTCAAGGTGATTTAATGTTTGAGGTCCGCATCACTGGGAAATGAGCACCTTTGCTGCTGGGGAAGGCTGCAAAAGGAACGGGAATGGGGTCCCAGATTCAGGGTGGGGTGGAGCTCACAGGGAAGTGAGAGGGACCACAGAAGGGGTGGGGTCCACACGAGCAGGCAGCAGCGCTTCAAGCAGGAAGCGTGGCCCGAGAAAGGGGGTCGCCTGAGGTGGCCAACGAGAAACGGGAGGGCCAATGGTGAAAAAGCAGGCTGAGTGACAGGTTACTCGAAGGGCGGCAGCAGGGAGCGGAATTGCCTGGGGCCTCCCTGTACTCCCTGCCGCCCTAGACCCCAGGCCGCTGACCACCTCTCTGCCACCTTTAGAGCTCTGTGGACATTCTGAGACATCAGGCGGCCTGGGACCCGCCCGGACCGGGCTCCGAGCAGCCCTGACCCCGGGATCGGCGGTCCCGACAGCATGCCCCCAGGACGCCCAAGAACCTCATAACACTGCAGAAGACTCCCTAACCTTGGTGAGTGGAACGGGGGATCTGGCGCAGCCTCCGTTCTAGCGCTGGCCGCCCTCGTCCTGTAGCCCTGCCTCATGGCGGCTCCACTCCCATCACCCTCGACCTGCCCCTCACCCTCTACGCCCGCCTGGCACCGCTGAGTCCTTAAAGGCGGACGGGGCTGGGAACTCCGTGAGAGACTCCAGACCTTCTCCTTGCCCTCCTGTGGGCTCCCGTGGGGGGACTCCATGGGCACCTTGGTGATGTAGGTTTAGACTTTTCAAGCCCTCTGCACAGTGTCAGACCACCCGACAGCCAATTGATGCACACAAGGGCTCAACTACCAAATTCCGAATTTGTCAAGAGCCAGACAGACTGTTTGAATCCTGACTCTGCCACTGTGTGACCCGGGTCAAGTGACTTCACCTCTGTGGGCCTCAGTTTCTCCATCATCCGTAAATGAGAAGTATGACAGTACTCACTTGATGGGGTAATTGTGAAGAGCAAATGAATTGGTGAGACAGGTGTTGAATAATGTGTAACACAGGCAAAAATACCATAATTACATCTCTTTACATATGGATATACGCATTTAATATATATTACTTAAATAAGATCTATACTACTATAATTTATGATGAGTGCATCAGTGGAGAAGTCCAAGGAGCTGTCAGGGGACGGAGAAGATGTGGTCTGGTTTGGGGGCAGGAGGGCTTCTCCAAGGAAGAGGTATTTATTTGAGCAAAGGCCTGCAGGAGGAGAGGAGTTACTGGGGCTGGGGGAAGCTTGCAGTAAGAGCTTCAGGAGGTGGCCAGACTTGAGGACAGGGAGAGGGTGGTTGGTGACCTGTGAGGGCCTGAGGCCAGGCTGGTCTGGGAGGAGCTTGCTTCTGTCTCTGAGGGGTGGATGGAGAGTTGCAGAGGAGTTTGAGCAGAGAATAACATAGTTGGGGCAGGGTGGAGGGAACTGGTCCTCTGAACCATGCAAAGGGGAGAGATGAGAGGAAGGAGGCCCAGGAGGAGGCTGGGATGATGGTCCAGGCAGCAAGAGGACGAGGATGGAGCTGGGGTCAGGGGTGGAGGGGAGAAGAGACATTTGAGCTGGATCTTGAGGCAGATAGGAAGAAGGGGCCTGGCAGTGAGGAACAGCATGGTGGCATGTGCAAAGGCTCCTGTGGCAGGACCACACTGGGCTCACTGAAAGAGCAATGGCTTGAGGGAAAGGATGGGAGATGGGGCTGCAGACATCCAGTGGGTCCAGGCTTTGTGCCCCAAACACCATTCCTGGGGTTCAACTTTGTCCTGGTGGGTGATGGCAAGCCATGGGAAGGCTCTTGAGCAGTGGAAGGGCAGTTGTTTTGGTGAGGCTGATCATGGAGATGGATGGCTGATACAGAGGCTGCTCTGGCAATCCAGGAGGGAGAGGACACATCAGGGCAGAGATTCAGATATCAGAGGAACTAGCAGGACATGGGTGGGAGGTGAAGAGAGGTGGAGGTGACCCCCAGATCTCTAGCCTGGGCGCCAGGGAGGGGGTGCTAGAGCTTGGGACAGACCACTAACCCATCCTGAGCCTGTGCCCTACTCTTTCCACCTTCAAGACCCCCAGCCTCAGTTCAAGGGCCAATGGCATGTGGGTTGATCGTGACTTCTAACGAGGTCCTGCATGTGGGGCCAACCTGGGGGCTAGAGTCCTTCCCAGAGATCAGGGCCGCGGTGCCAGCTGGGGGTCAGCGATGGCAGTGACGTCACTCTCCCTTCGGTCCCCCCAGATAATCTGCACCACAACTACCTGCATCCAACATCAACAGCCCTACACCACGCCGCACCCTGGGTACGGATGAGGGGGCGCTGGCTGCGGGAGAGCAGGGCCTTCCTTCCCCCCTTGTGTTGGGCTAGCCATGCCAGGTGCTCCGGTATAGAGCAGGAGCGAGACCACTGTGAGCCTCAGTCCTCATGGCACTCATGGTCTGGCTAGTCACCAAGTGAACCTGTCTCTCGTGTGGACGCTCGAAAGTGGTCATCTAGGCCGGGCGCGGTGGCTCGCCTGTAATCCCAGCACTTTGGGAGGCCGAGACGGGCGGATCACGAGGTCAAGGGATCGAGACCATCCTGGCTAACACGGTGAAACCTCGTCTCTACTAAAAATACAAAAAACTAGCCGGGCGAGGTGGCGGGCGCTGTAGTCCCAGCTACTCGGGAGGCTGAGGCAGGAGAATGGCGTAAACCCGGGAGGCGGAGCTGCAGTGAGCTGAGATCTGGCCACTGCACTCCAGCCCGGGCGACTGAGCGAGACTCCGTCTCAAAAAAAAAAAAAAAAAAAGAAAGGGTCATTCTCTCCCCACATGGTTGAGGAGAAGGTGCATGGAGCCCGGGGCCAGGCACCAGTGAATGCTGACAACACTGGTGCCCTTCTCAGGGTTCCTCTCTCTTCCCCAGCATCAAGCCTGTCTCCTGAGAGGTGGGGTGAGAAGAGGGAGCTTGAACTGCTGGAATTATGATGGGCTAATCTCTGAGATTTCTAACTGCCCAAAGAACTGCTGGGTCTGAGGGGAGGAGGGGCTGGGGGCCTGGACTCCTGGGTCTGAGGGAGGAGGGGCTGGGGTCTGACCCTGGGTCTGAGGGAGGAGGCTGGGCCTGGACTCCTGGGTCTGAGGGAGGAGGGGCTGGGGCCTGGGCTCCTGGGTCTGAGGGAGGAGGGGCTGGGGTCTGACCATGGGTCTGCGGAGGAGGGGCTGGGGCCTGGGGCTCCTGGGTCTGAGGGAGGAGGGGGCTGGGGTCTGGACTCCTGGGTCTATGGGAAGAGGAGTTTAGGCCTGGATTCCCAGGTCTGAGGGAGAAGGGGCTGAGGCCTGGGCTCCTGGGTCTGAGGGAGAAGGGGCTGGGGCCCGGATTCCTGGGTCTGAGGATGGAGGGGCTGGGGGCCTGGACACCTGGGTCTGAGGGAGGAGGGCCTGGGGACCTGGACGCCAGGGTCTGGGGGAGGAGGGGCTGGGGGCCTGGATGCCTGGGTCTGAGGGAGGAGGGGCTGAGGCCTGGATTCCTGGGTCTGAGGATGGAGGGGCTGGGGCTTGGACTCCTGGGTCTGAAGGAAGAGGGGCTGGGTTTCTGGACTCCTGTGTCTGATGGAGGAGGGGCTGGGAGCCTGGACTCCTGGGTCTGAGGGAGGAGGCTGACTGACCCTGGCCCTGCCCCCTCTAACCCAGACTGGCGAGCCTTGCCGCCGCCCAGCCCCTCCTTGCACTACTCCACGCTGTCCTGCTCTCGGTCCTTCCACAACCTCTCGCATCTGCCCCCGTCCTACGAGGCTGCTGTGAAGTCCGAGTTGAACCGATACTCCTCCCTCAAGAGACTGGGTGAGTCCTAGCAAGGGCAGCGGGCGGTGAAGGGGAGGGGGCGGGGCCAGAGTCTGGGTTCAGGACCATGGACAGTGGCCCAAGCGCCTTCCCATGCTTTAGATTCTCTCCCAGTTTTTACTAAGTTCGTTCTGAGGTACTTTTCTTTTTTTTACTAAGTTCTGAGGTACTTTTTTTTTTTTTTTACTAAGTTCTGAGGTACTTTTTTTTTTTTTTACTAAGCTCGTCCTGAGGTACTTTTGTATCAGAATCACTTCTGGTTTGTTTCTTTTAAGTGCAACCTTCTGGTCTCCCCTCCCAGGACTTATTATTGTATTCATCAGGACTTGGACTTGCAATTAATAGAAACACAACTTAAGTTAAAGGGAAAAAAATACGTTGACTTGATCATGGAAAGTCTACAGGTCACCAGGTTGCGATGTAGCTGCTGTGGGGGCCCAAGAGCTGTCTCTTAGCTCTCTATGCAACCGGCAGGCCTCATTTTCAGACAGTCTCCCCTTGTGGTGGAGATGATCGCCCTGCAGATGTTCAGGCTGCCGTTCTACCAGCTCAGGGACCCTGGCAGAAAAGAGTCTCTGGCAACAATTCTGGCAAAAAATCCCAGGCCTGGTCCAAGTTGGGCCACATGCCCACCCCTGAACCCATTCCTGTGACTCAAGGACATTTTGCAGTCTGTGGCCCATCTCTGGCAGTGGAGCAGCCTTCAAACATCTTAAAATGAGAGCCTCACTAGGAAACACTTGTTCTTCTTTGTTACCATTATGTTTTCAAGACAGGGTCTCACTCTGTCACCCAGCCTGGAATGTAGTGGCATGATCATAGCTCACTGCAGCCTCTACCTCCCCAGGCTCAAGCGTGATCCTTCCGTGTCAGCCACCCGGGTAGCTGGAACTAAGAGCTTGTGCTGCCATGCCTGGTTAATTTTTGTATTTTCTGTAGAGACGGGGTTTCACTGTGGTGCCCAGGCTGGCCTCAAACTCCTGGGCTCAAGCAAGCCACCCACCTCAGTCTCTCAAAGTGCTGAGATTACAGGCATGAGCCACCATACCCAGCCAGAAACTATTTCTTTTTTTTTTTTTTTTTTTTGAGACAGAGTCTCGCTCTGTCGCTCAGGCTGGAGTGCAGTCGCATGATCTCGGCTCACTGCAACCTCCACCTCCTGAGTTCAAGTGATTCTCCTGCCTTAGTCTCCTGAGTAGCTGGGATTACAGGTGCATGCCACCACGTCTGGCTAATTTTTGTATTTTTAGTAGAGATGGGGTTTCACCATGTTAGTGAGGCTGGTCTCAAAGTCCTAACCTTGTGATCCACCTGCCTCGGCCTCCCAAAGTGCTGGGATTACAGGCGTGAGCCACTGTGCCCAGTGTTTTTTGTTTTGTTTCATTTGTTTTTTTTGTTTTTTTTGAGATGGAGTTTCACTCTTGTTGCCCAGGCTGGAGTGCAATGGCACCATCTCAGCTCACTGCAACCTCTGCCTCCTGGATTCAAGTGATTCTCCTGCCTCAGTCTCCAGAGTAGCTGGGATTACAGGCGTGCGCCACCACTCCCGGCATGTGCCACCACTCTCTATTTTTGATAGAGACGGGGTTTCACCATGTTAACCAGTATGGTCTCGATCTCCTGACCTCGTGATCCGCCCATCTCGGCCTCCCAAAGTGCTGGAATTACAGGCTTGAGCCACCGCGCCCGGCCTAGCTAATGTTTTGTTTTTTGTTTTTTGTGTTTTTTTTGTAGAGATGGAGTCTCACTATATTGCCCAGGTCAGTCCTGAACTCCTGGGCTCAAGAGACCCTCCTGTTCAATCACCCAAAGTGCTGGGATTACAGGAGTAAGCCACCTCGCCTGACCTTGGTGGATTCTTTTAAACTAAATCTCATCCTTTAATATTTCAATCACACACACACACACACGTCTGAAGTAAGAATTTCATGAACCAACACTTACCCCTGATTCCCTTATTACATAAACACTTTCTGATAGTTTTCTCTTCTGGTCTATTTGATTTCATTTTTCAAAATGCTACTCACTACCCGCAAAATCAACTTCACAAGGTAACAGGTCACAACTCCAAGTGTGAGTCACATTGCTCCAGGATGAGAGGGGATCAGTGGTTCCCCAAAAGCAGGAGTTAGGTTGGGTTCTACTCCCAAAAGAAGGGATAGGCAGAGACGGGGGAGAAGAAGAGGAAGTCCCCGGGCGTGGTGGCTCAAGCCTGTAATCCCAGCACTTTGGGAGGCCGAGACGGGCGGATCACGAGGTCAGGAGATCGAGACCATCCTGGCTAACTCGGTGAAACCCCGTCTCTACCAAAAAATACAAAAAACTAGCCGGGCAAGGTGGCGGGCGCCTGTAGTCCCAGCTACTCGGGAGGCTGAGGCAGGAGAATGGCGTAAACCCGGGAGGCGGAGCTTGCAGTGAGCTGAGATCCGGCCACTGCACTCCAGCATGGGCAACAAAGCAAGACTCCGTCTCAAAAAAAAAAAAAAAAAAAAAGAAGAGGAAGTCCTCCACATCTACTGACCCAGCATTGTGGGCTGGGCCTGGGAATCTGCATTTTGGCCACACAGCTAACGTGGCGCCCGGGATCCTTGTGGGGCGACAGACCTGCATGGGAGCGGGGTGTGAGGAGGTGGGAGGGGGAGGGCTCTGGATGCACAGGGGACCCACCGCTGTGGCTTTTCCCCCTTTCCCCGCAGCCGAGAAGGATCTGGACGAGGCCTACCTGAAGCGCCGGCCCGTGGAGTTGCCCCGCGGCACGCTGCCCCTGCACGCGCTGCGGCGGCCGGGCACCGGGGGCGGCTACCGCATGGAGGCCTGGGGCGGCCCCGAGGAGCTGGGCCTGGCGCCCGCGCCCAACCCCCGGAGGGTCATGTCCCAGGAGCACCTGCTGGGCGATGGCGGCCGTTCGCGCTACGAGTTCACGCTGCCGCGGGCACGCCTCGTGTCGCAGGAACACCTGCTGCTGTCCTCGCCCGAGGCCCTGCGCCAGAGTCGCGAGCACCTGCTGTCGCCCCCGCGCAGCCCCGCGCTGCCCCCCGACCCCACCGCCCGGGCCAGCCTGGCCGCCTCGCACTCCAACCTGCTGCTGGGGCCCGGGGGGCCCCCCACACCGCTGCGCGGGCTGCCGCCGCCGTCCAGCCTGCACGCCCACCACCACCACGCCCTGCACGGCTCGCCGCAGCCCGCCTGGATGTCCGACGCCGGCGGGGGCGGCGGCACGCTGGCCCGCAGGCCGCCCTTCCAGCGCCAGGGCACGCTGGAGCAGCTGCAGTTCATCCCGGGCCACCACCTGCCCCAGCACCTGCGCACGGCCAGCAAGAACGAGGTGACTGTCTGAGGCCAGGGCCGGGGCTGGGGGGCTGCGGCCTCCCGGGCCCCCCGTCCCAGCCTAGATCCCCCGACACAGGCGCACACACGCCAGGGGCCTGGGGCCCAGATCGGCCTTTGGACAGGAGTCAAAGCCTCCTTCCGGGATGTCCTGGCAGACAAGATTCCTCCTCCTATTACGTCACTGCTTGAGCCAAGGCCTCCTTCCCATGATGTCATCCCAGAGGAAGAGGCCGGCCCATGAGGTCATCGCTAGCAAAAATGTCTGTGTTCTGTGATGTCATCACAGGGACAAAGCCTCCTTCCCATGAGGTCATCACAGAGGAAGAGGCCAGCCCGTGAGGTCCTCGCTGGAGGCCATGTCCATGTTCTATGGTGTCCTCAGAGGCTTCCTTCTTGTGGTGTAATAACAGAGATGATGCCTTGCCCCACGACATTCGATCCTGTGGTGTCACTGCAGAGACAGTCTCACCTGGATGATGTCACCTCTAACTCCAAGCCTCTTTTGGCATCATCGCCATGGGGAAGATATTTTCTCCCTGTGTCTTTGCAGCAGAGAAGATGCCTCTGTCCTATGATGTCATCGTTACAGACAAAGCCATCTTCCTGGGACACGTCGCAGGGGAAAATGCCTCACCAATTGTGTCCTCACTAGACCTAAGGTCTCCTTTTCACCACATCATCACAGGGACCCTGCCTCCTTCCTGTGATGCCATCACCAGAGAAGGTGCCTTGCCCTATGACGTCATCAGAGGGACCGTGCCTCTTCCTGTGATGTCATCACCAGAGATGACCACCCACTCTGGGACCTCTCTAGGAGGAGGCCCCTTCTGCACTGTCGCCCAGAGGCTACGTGCTCTGAGATGGCACGAGGAGAGGCCTCCATTGCTGCCACCATGTTGTAGAAGGCAGGGCAGGCCCAGAGTCCAGGACAACCCCAGGGAAGATGCCAGGGAGCAGAGAGGAGCCCTGTCCTGAGATGTTGTCTGAAGGAAGCATCGCTGGGGAGCCGCCCATGTGGAGGGCCTCCTCCAGAAATGATGGTCCGTGTAGGCTGTTGGCAGTGAACCTCCTACCCCAGTGCTGTGATGGCATCACCAGAGCTTCCTCCTCAGAGGCACTGCCCACTCTGGGAGGCCATCGATATTGATGGTGTCACCAGAGTTACTGCCTTGTCCCACCGTGACTTAGCTTGGTTGCTCCCTCCCCAAACCCAAGGGACATGCCCAGCAGGATCTCTGCTAGACCCTCTGAGAGGAAATGGGGCCTTGGATCCCATACCTGTGCTATGACTCCTGGGAGACAGAACCGCCAGATGCCCTTCTGCTCCCGGGAGGCCACTCTGGATCACCAGGATCCTGGAGTCCTGGCACTCATAGGTGTCCTACAACCTGGCCTCACTCTTCTTTCTGCCATATCTAGAGACAATCGCCTCTGCCTACAAAGTCCTAGCCTTCCACTGGGGGGAGGTGCTTGAGGTACACCTACTCTTGCCCTCACTGACACTGTCAGCACCACACAATACCCGCCACTCACGATGGCACTGCACCCGGGGTCAGTGTTACCCATGCGTGAGGATGGAATCCTTTCCCAGGATTCCCTGTGACCCCCAACTATGGTAACATCTTCCAGGATTTACCATGACTAATGGTGTCACTCTCTCCCAAGACTCTCCATAGCCAACGGTGTCACCACCCTCCATGATTCCTCACAACCACGGTTTCATCATCTTTCAGGAGCCACCACAGCTGACGATGTCATCATTTCCTAGATCCCACCATGACCAATGATGACATTACCTTCCAGAATCCACTATGCCTGACACAGACATCCTCTACTGAAATCCACTAGGACTGATGATGCCACCATTTCCCATAATCCCTCATGATTTTGGTGTCATCACCTCCCATGACAGAACCATGGTGTCATCCTCCCAGGATCCACTTCAACCATGGTGTCATCATATCCCAGAATTCATTACACCTAAGAGTGTCATGATGTCATCACCTGCCAGATCCACTTTAACCGTGTGTCTTCATGTCCCAGGAGTCACCATAGCTATTATGTTATCAGTTCTCAGGATCCACTCCAACCATGATGTTATTATCTCCCAGGATCCATGAGATCCAATGCTGTCACCACCCACTAGGATCCACCATAACCCTGGTGTCATCATCTCCCAGGATCCATGAGGTCCGGTGCTGTCACCACCCACTAGGATCCACTTCAACCCTGGTGTCATCGTCTCCCAGGATCCATGAGGTCCAGAGCTGTCACCACCCACTAGGATCCACCATAACCCTGGTGTCATCGTCTCCCAGGATCCATGAGGTCCAATGTTGTCACCACCCACTAGGATCCACCATAACCCTGGTGTCATCTCCCAGGATCCATGAGGTCCAATGTTGTCACCATCCACTAGGGATCCAATGTTGTCACCATCCACTAGATCCACCATAACCCTGTGTCACTGCCTCCCAGGATCCATGAGGTCCAATGTTGTCACCACCCACTAGGATCCACCATAACCCTGGTGTCATCTCCCAGGATCCATGAGGTCCAATGTTGTCACCATCCACTAGGATCCACCATAACCCTGGTGTCATCGTTCCTGTGATCCATGAGATCCTATGTTGTCACTACCCCACTAGGATCCACCATAACCCCTGGTGTCATCGTCTCCCGTGATCCATGATCCAATGTTGTCACTACCCACTAGGATCCACCATAACCCTGGTATCATCTCCCAGGATCCATGAGGTCCAATGTTGTCACCATCCACTAGGATTCACCATAACCCTGGTGTCATCATCTCTCAGGATCCATGAGATCCAATGTTGTCACCACCCACTAGGATCCACCATAACCCTGGTGCCATCATCTCCTGTGATCCATGAGATCCAGTGCTGTCACCACCCACTAGGATCCACCATAACCCTGGTGTCATCCCAGAGTCCACTGCAACCATGTGCCATCACCCCCCAAGAGCCATCATCTTAGAAGCCAAGTACCATGACGGGCTGTATTTCAGTTGTCCTCTGGGGCCGCATGGTACTTACAGTAGTTCACTTAAGGGGAACCAGCATAACAGGCCATATTCCCGTTTCCACAAAAAGGACAGGGGCAGGGCCAGCTGCCCCCCTCTGATGACTTCATCCCTACTCTGGCCCTCCTTATGTCACTGCCTCACTCCTGACTGAGGATGTTGCCTGGATCAACCCCACCACAGATGTGGCCTCAGCCAACCTCACCTTACCCCCCGGTGAGGCACCCAGGCCCCTCCTGACAGCAGCGCTGCCCCTCACCCAGCCATCTGACTGGTGACAGGGTCAACCCAGAAACCTCTCATCATCACCAGAGGGGAAGCATTTCAACCCTCAGGTGACACCACTGCCCCCTGCCCAGTCCCTGTCACTTGGGGCCCTACCAGGATCAGCTCTCTGCTGGCTCCAGCCAAATTCTCCTCAGATATCCCCGACCCCCGCAGGATGGGCCAAAGCTGGTGACCGACCTGGGGCCTTCAAGGCTGTCTTCTGGCCTCATCCTGCAGCAGGGACACTGGAGAGCAACGGTCCCTGCCAGCACATCTGCAGGGGCCAGGGGTGCTCCTTCACCTCCCTCCCTAACACCCTAACACTGGGGAGCCTCCAGGGGCGGCAGGAAGTCCCCAGCACCCACTGCACAATCTGCCCTCAATTCTCTTTGTACATAGCCATGTTGCGGGGGCGGCCATTCCCCCACTCTTAAAGGGCTACACGCCCCTCCCCCAGCCTCTAGGGCAAGGTGGGAGGGGTCTCTTCTTCCTCCCCTGGGCCGTCCCCCTCCCTCTTATGTCTCCCCGCAAACACTGGCCCCTCACCCTCCTTCTTGTCAGGAGCTTGGGGCAGAGAGCTGGCCCTTGGCTCACACCACACCGAAGAAACGGCACACTGAGGAAACGGGGCGGTTACCCAAATCTACCTAGGCCCTGGTGCCAGTTCTTCAACCCCACAGCTTCTAGCTGCTCTGAGCTCCTCCCATCCCTTCCAGGGCCTCCCCAGCCCGACACCGCTCAGGCCGACTGTGACTTCCCCATAAAGGAGCCAGCTTGAGCGCCCGCCCCCTCGCAGCCCCCTCCCCGCCCCCTCCCAGCCCCCTCCCCTCTGCTCCACACCTCCGCGGAACACTCAGCTTTCTCCAGCCGCCAGGATTTGGGGGTTCGGGCCTTTCAGCTTTTGTATCCCCCTCCACTAGCTCTAGGCCAGCCTGGATTCCAGGAATCCCGCCCCCAGCCCTGTCCCCATTCAGTCGGCACAGGCTGCCTGACCCTGGGGCCTTGATTTGACCTCAAATAAGCCATAGAGGGGAGAAGTCTTGAGGGGTGGGAGCCGGTGTGTACTGACAATTCCCCTCCACGTGTCCTGAGCTGGGACCTTGTCATCTGCGACTTCCCCATGCCCCAACACACGCAAACGCACACAAATCCATGCATACACAAGCGCGCGCGCACACACACACGCACAGAGGCATCTCCCCTTCTGGCTGGGGGAGCATGGGAGGGGGCCGTTCACAGGGAGAAGATAAATAGTTCCACACCTGAAGACCCTCCAACAGCTTCTGCCTCCCTCCTCCTCCCTTCCTTTCTCCACTCCCCTCTCCAACACTGGCCCCTTCCCCAAACTGATTCCCTGGTGAGGACAGCCAGAGGAGCTGTGACTTGGTATTTTTTGGAATAAATAGACATTTTCCTGATCGAAGTTCTCAAGGCTTACTGTGGAGAAAGGATGGATTTCCATCCATGTTTGTGGGTCACAGGGGAGGCCCCCTGGCCTTGAACGTGTAACTGGGTGTAGCAGGTGGGCAATTTGCCAAAGGATGGGCTTCTAAGCATTTGTTCCCAGGCCAGGGCCCACCACCAAGCGGAGGGGTCAGGGATTGGAGGTGGGAGTGCACTGTAGGGTGCTTCTAAGTTCTGGGTTTTGTTCTAAGAAGCCCTCTGTCATGCCGGGCGCGGTGGCTCACGCCCGTAATCCCAGCACTTTGGGAGGCCAAG